GCAAAAATTTGCTTCCAAAATGTAGACTCTCTGTTTACTTCATTGATTGTTTCTTTTACTTTTTAGTTTAAATCCATCCATTTATTGATTCTTGATTTTATTTCTTGCACTTTAGGAGCCTTGTTAAAGAAGTCAGGGCCTCATCCAACATGATGAATATTTAGGCCTACTTTTTCTTTTATTAGGCACAGGGTCTCTGGTCTAATTCCTAGGTCCTTGATCCACTTTAAGTTGATTTTTGTGTATGGTGAGAGATAGGGGTTTAGTTTCATTTTGCTGCATATGGATTTCCAGTTTTCCCAGCACCATTTGTTGAAAAGGCTATCTTTTCTCCAATGTGTGTTTTTGGCACCTTCGTCTGGTATTTATGTGGGTTTGTCTCTGTGTCTTCTATTCTGTACCTTTGGTCTACATGTCTATTTTGGTGCCAGTACCATGCCATTTTTGTTACTATAGCTTTCTAGTATTGTTTAAGGTCTGGTATCGTTACGCCTCCTGCTTCACTCTTCTTGCTAAGGATTGTTTTGGCTATTCTGAGTCTCTTATTTTTCCAAATGAATTTCATGATTGCTTTTTCTATAAGGAACGATCTTAGGCTTTTAATTGGAGACACATTGAATCTGTATAGCGCTTTGGGTAATATGGCCATTTTGACAATATTAATTCTGCCTATCCAGGAGCATGGGAAGTCTTTCCATCTTCTAAGGTCTTCTTCAATATCTTTTTTTAACATTTATTTTTTTAGTTATATGTGGCCACAATATCTTTATTTTACTTTTATGTGGTGCTGAGGACTGAACCCAGTGCCTCTGGCATGCTAGGCAAGCACTCTACCACTGAGCCACAGACCCAGACCAGGTCTTCTTCAATTTCTTTAGTGTTCTGTAGTTTTCATTGTAGAGGTCTTTCACCTCTTTTGTTAAATTGATTCCCAAATATTTTATGTTTTTGAGGCTACTGTGAATGAAATAGTTTTCCTAATTTCTCTTTCAGAGGATTCATCATTGATATTTAGAAATGCATTTGATTTATGGGTATTGATTTTTATAGCCTGCTACTTTGCTGAATTCATTTATTAATTCTAAATTCTGGTGGAATTTTTTGGATCTTGTAAGTATAGAATCATGTCATCAGCAAATAATGATAGTTTGAGCTTTTCTTTTCCTATTCGTATCCCTTTAATTTCTTTCGTCTGTCCAATGGCTCTGGCTAGAGTTTCAAGAACTATTTTGAATAGAAGTGGTGAAAGAGGCCATCCTTGTCTTGTTCCAGTTTTTAGTGGAAATGCTTCCAATTTTTCGCCATTTAGAGTGATGTTAACCTGTTAACCTTGGGTTTATTGTAGATAGCTTTTACGATGTTGAGGCATATTCCTACTATTTCTAGTTTTCTAGTGTTTTGAACATGAAAGGGTGCTGTACTTTTTTTTAAGAGAAAGAGAGAAAGAGAGAGAGAGAGAGACAGAGAATTTTAATATTTATTTTCTTTAGTTTTCGGCGGACACAACATCTTTGTTGGTATATGGTGCTGAGGATCAAACCCAGGCCACACGCATGCCAGGCGAGTGCGCTACCGCTTGAGCCACATCCCCAGCCCCAGGGTGCTGTACTTTGTCAAATGCTTTCTCTGCATCAGTTGATATAATCATTTGACTCTTTCTTTAAGTCTATTGTATGATGAATTACATTTATTGATTTCCGTATGTCGAACCAACCTTGCATCCCTGGAATGAACCACACTTGATCATGGTACACAATTTTTAAAATATGTCCTTGAATGCAATTTGCCAGAATTTTATTGAGAATTTTTACATCTATGTTCATCAGGGATATTGGTCTGAAATTTTCTTTCCTTGATGTGTCTCTGTCTGGTTTTGGTATCAGGATGATACTAGCCTCATAGTATGAGTTTGGAAGAGTTCCCTCCTTTTCTTTCTTTTTTTTTTTTTAAATACACATTCTTTTTTTTTTTTGAGAGAGAGAGAGAATTTTTAATATTTATTTATTTTTTTTAGTTCTCGGTAGACACAACATCTTTGTTTGTATGTGGTGCTGAGGATCGAACCCGGGCCACACGCATGTCAGGCGAGTGTACTACCGCTTTAGCCACATCCCAGCCCCGAGTTCCCTCCTTTTCTATTTCATGGAATAATTTGAGTATTGGTATTAATTCTTTGTAGGTCTTGTAGAACTTGACTGCGAATTCATCTGTCCCCGGCTTAACTTTGTTAGTAGGCTTTTGATGGCATCTTTTACTTCCTTGCTTGAAATTGATCTGTTTAAATTATGTATGTCTTCCTTGTTCAATTTGGGTAGATCATATGCCTCTAGAAATTTGTCTGTCTCTTCAAGGTTTTCTATTATAGAAATTTGTCTGTGTCTTCAAGGTTTTCTATTTTACTGGAGTATAAATTTTCAAAATAGTTTCTAATTGTCTTCTGTATTTCAATAGTGTCTGTCATGATATTTCCTTTTTCATCATGAATTTTAGTAATTTGAGTTTTCTCTCTCCTTTTCATTAGGGTGGCTAAGGGTTTGCTAGTTTTATTTTTTCAAAGAACCAGCTTTTGTTTTGTTAATTTTTTGAATTACTTTGTTTCAATTTCATTGATTTCAATTTCATTGATTTCTTCTACTTTTGGTGTTTATTTGTTCTTTTTCTAGGGCTTTGAAATGTAATGTCAATTCATTTTTATTGACTTTTTCTTCTGTTAATGAGTAAGCTTAATGCAATGAACTTTCCTCTTAGCACTGCTTCCATAGTATCCCAGAGATTTTGATGTTGTATCAGAGTTCTCATTTACCTCTAGGAATTTTTTTTTATCTTCTCCCTGATGTCATCTGTTACCCAGGTGCCATTCAGTGACGTATTATTTAGTCTTCAGATGCTGGAATAGCTTTTATTTTTTATTTTATCATTGATATCTAATTTCATTCTGTTATGGTTAGATAGAACACAGGTTTGTATCTCTATTTTTGTATTTGCCGAGACTTGCATTGTGGCATAACATATGGTCTATTTTGGATAAGGATCCATGTGCTGCTGAGAAAAAAGTATATTCATTTGTTCATGGAAGGACTATTCTATATATGTGTGTTAAGTCTAAATTGTTATTTGTTTTATTGAGTTTGATAGTTTCTTTGTTTAGTTTTTGTTTGGAAGAACTATCCAGTGGTGAGAGAGGTGTGTTAAAGTCACCTAATATTATTGTGTTGTGGTCTATTTAATTCTTGAAGTTGAGAAATGTTTGTTTGATATACATAATTGCTCCTATGTTTGGGGCATAGATATTTACAATTGTTATGTCTTGTTTTTGTTGTTGTTGTTTGTTTTTTGTTACCAGGGATATTGAACTCAGGGATACTTGACCACTGAGCCATATCCCAGCCCTATTTTGTATTTCATTTAGAGACAGGGTCTCGCTGAGTTGCTTAGAGCCTCACTTTTTGCTGCGGCTGGTTTTGAACTTGCGATCCTCTTGTCATAGCCTCCCAAACTGCTGGGATTACAGGTGTGCACCATAGCACCCAACTGTTGTGTCTTGTTGATGTATGATTCCCTTGAGTAGTATGAAATGTGCTCCTTTATCCCTTTTTGCTAACTTTGGTTTGAAGTCCACTTTATCTGATATAAGGATGGAAACCCCTGCTTATTTCCTCAATCCATGTAAGTGATATGTTTTTTCCCAACCTTTCACCTTCAGTCTGTGGATGTCTTTTCCTGTGAAATGAGTCTCTTGAAGGCAGCAAACTGTTGGGTCTTTTTTTAAAATCCAATCTGCCAGTCTATATCTTTTAATTGTTGAGTTTAGGCCATTCACATTCAGGGTTATTATTAAAATATGTTTCATATTCCCAGTCATCTTGGTTTATTTGGGGTTTTTTAAAAAATAAATATTTTTAAGGTATAGTTGGACATGATGCCTTTATTTTATTTACTTATTTTTATGTGGTGCTGAGGATCAACCCCAGGGCCTTGCCCATGGTAGGTGAGCACTCTACCACTGAGCCACACCCTCAGCCCCTATTTTTGGTTTTTAATTTGACTTAGCTTCTCTTTCATTTGGCCTTTCCTTTAGTGTAATTCCTCACTTTGCAGATAGTCATTGTTATTTTCCATTTCCTTCTCATGGAATATTTTGAAAAGAATATTCTGTAGTGCAGGCTTTCTTGCTGTAAATTCTTTTAATTTTTGATTATCATGGAAGGTTTTTATTTAATATGAAAGCATAATTTCGCTGGATATAAGATTCTTGGTTGGCATCCATTTTCTTTCAGAGCTTGGTATATGTTGTTACAGGATCTCCTGGCCTTGAGGGTCTGGACTGAAAAATCGGCTGAAATCCAAATTGGTGTCCCCCGATATGTAATCTGATTCTTCTCTCTTATGGCCTTGGATTCTATTATTCTGTATGCTAGTCATTTTCATTATAATGTGGTTTGGTGTAGATATGTTGTAATTTTGTACATTTGGTTTCCTGTAAGCCTCTTGTATTTGATTTTTCAATTCATTCTTCATGTTTGGGAAATTTTCTTATATTATTTCATTGAGGAGATTGTGCTTTCTTCTATCCTGATAAACCTTAGATTTGGTCTTTTTATGTTATCCCATAATTCTTGGATGTTCTATTTATGATTTCTTTCCATCTTCACTGTGTGGTCAAACTTTATTTTCCAGATTGTGAATTTTTTTTTAATTGTCTGAGGTTCTGTCTTTCTTTTTTTATTTTTTAGTTCTCAATGGACTTTTATTTTATTCATTTATATGCGGAGCTGAGAATCGAACCCAGTGCCTCACATATGCTAGGCAAGTGCTTTGCCACGGAGCCACCACCTCAGCCCAGAGGTTCTGTCTTTCAAGTGATCTAATCTGTTGGTGACACTTTCTATTGAGTTTTTATTTGGTTTATTTATGAAATCCTTCATTTCAAAGATTTCTGTTTTTTTTCCAAAATCTCTCTCTTAAAGTAATCTTTTGCTACCTATATTTGCTCTCTTATCTCTTTGTTAGAGTGATCAATTTTTGCCTGTATGTGCTCATTTAGGTCATTCTTTGATTCACAGATCATTTTAATCATGTACATTCTTTTTAAAAAATATGTTTTTTTAGTTGTAGATGGACATAATTCTTTTATGTGGCTCTGAGTGTCCCAGTGTCTCACACATGCTAGGCAAGTGCTCTATCACTGAACCACAACCCCAGCCCCGAATTATGTATATTCTGAACTCCTTTTCTGTCATCTATAGCACTGTCATTGGATTCTAGTGTTATACCATCTTGGTTGGTTTGGGGCATTTTCCTTCCTTGTTTTTTCATGTTGTCTATGTCTCTTCCTCTCTTGCATTGTGGATCTAAGGTATTGAAGTTTCTACTCTATAATCTTGTAATGTCCCTGCAGGGATACCTCACCTTTAAGGGAAAGATTAACATTTACAGTACCCAATGCAACTATGCAGCTATAAATCAATTAGCTTCTTTTTAGACACAGTTTTGCCACTATAAACAGAAATGATGAGTTTGGTTATCTTCTACCATATAGCCAGTAGGTTTGAATAGGGTTTAGAGTTTGTAGTGGTGATCAGAGAGAGAGGGAAGGGAGTAGGATGTGATGTTTATGAGGTAGGATGTGAGAATATAGAGGTATTAGATTATAGGATGAGTGAAAGGGGAATCAACAGAAGTTGGCTGTTAGCAGGAGGGAAAAAAAAGGAGAGAGAGGCGACCCTATACAAGGCTCCCTGTTGCCTCTGCAACAGGATGGTGACTGTTAGCACACCTAGCAGGGATACTTCTGGTGCCACTGGGCCCCCAGAGACCTTGGTGATGGTCTTCCAGTTCCTGGTTATTGTCCCTAGATAGAAGTGGCCACATTCCTAGTTGGTGGCAGCAGTAGCGTCAAGCCTGTAGGTACCTTGGTATTGGGCTTCCAGGCCTCAGTTGGTGTCCCAAGATGGAATCTTCCCCAACTAAATATGGCGGAGGTGGCAGTGGAAGTAACCCAATATAGCAGTTGAGGTGTCCCAAAATGGAGGCATCCACTTTCACAGATGGGGCTGGGAGGATGGGCTGTGTGATAGCATTGGGAAGCCTGTTCGGTGATGGCACAGTGTGGCACGCAGTGCTGCAGCAGACAGCTGCTTCCTGACCCTGTCCATTGTCCCACAGTGGAGATTACCATGTGGGAAGGGCTATGGCTGTGGCTGTAGTGTCCCAAGATGTAGGTGGTGGGTGAAGTCACACTTTGGTGGATAGGGAACCACAGTGTGGTGTTCCTCTCCATGCAGGCACATGGTTCTTGGCTCCAGCTGAGGCTGCACATGGTGGGTTCTGGTCTGGGCTCCGTAAAAAAAATATATTAAAAAACAAACAAAAAAAAAAGGACTAGGGATGCAGCTCAGTGGTAGAATGCCCTTGGGTTCAATCCCCAGTCAAATAAATAAATAAATAGGAATTCTGGACCTCTCGGATCTGAGCACTATAAGGAGGTGGAAGGCTCCTTTCTCTTTATATACCCATATCTGTTGCCTGGCAAGGAACCAAGTGCACACACATGCAGATGTCCTAACCTGCACACTCACACTCACACTCTGGTCTACACAATGAGGCACACATCATCATCCTTCAGAATACCAGGGAGCACAGAGAAGGTCTTCAAAACTCAGAAAAGGAGGGGGCACATTCAAAGATGCTTTCTTTTATATATATCTAAATTATTTTTAGTTGTCAACGAAACTTTTATTTATTTATTTATATTTATTTATTTATTTATTTATATGCAATGCTGAGAATTGAACCCAGGGCTTCACACATGCTAGGCAAGAGTTCAACCCCTGAGCCACGACCCTGGCCCTCAAAGATGCTTTCTCAAAGTTAGAAGAAAACAGAGCAATTGCTTCAACATTATGAAAGAATTCATCCACAGTCAGATTACCAATTAAACATGAATAGACTGAAGATATTTTCTTTTTTTTAATTAAATATTTTTTAGTTGTCAATAGACCTTTATTTTATTTATTTATATGCAGTGCTGAGAATTGAACCCTATGCATGCTAGGCAAATGCTCCACCACTGAGCCACAACCCCAGCCCTGAAAATATTTTTATTTCCACTTAACAGGTATGGTTGTATGGCAGCCAGCCTCTAAGGTGGCCTCTAATGAGTTCCAGATCCTGGTATTTGCATTCTTGTACCATTCTTTCACATGTCCGTGAACATGGCTGACCTATGGAGCCAAGGGAGAGTGCAGAACTGCCAGTATGTGTCTTCCAAAGCTAGCTCGTAGGCAGCGTTATGGTTTCTACTTGCTCTATTCTGGATCACTTGCTCTGGTGAAAGCCAGCTGTGATCAGATCATAAGATATTCAAACAGGGCCAGTTGTGGTGGAGCACACTGTAATCCCAGTGGCTCAGGAGGCTGAGGTGGGGAGTGGCAAGTTCAAAGCCAGCCTTAGCAACCGTGAGGCACATAGCAACTCGGTGAGACCCTGTCTCTAAATAAAATACAAAAGAGTGCTGGGGATGTGGCTCATGGTTGAGTACCCCTGATTAGGTTCAATCCCCGGTAACCCCCGCAACAGCAACAAAAAAGATTCAAACAGTTCTATGGTGAGGTCCATGAAGCAAGGAACTGAGACCTCCTTCCAACAGCCTGCACAGTTTGCTGCCATGTGAGTTGGCCATCTTGGAAGTGGATCCTTAAGCCCCAGTCAAGCCTTCCAGAAGATCCTTAAGCCTTCTCTCCATGGGAGACCCCAAGCCAGAACCACCCAGCAAAGTTACTCCCAAAGACCTGACTCCCAGAAACTGTGAGATTACAAATGTTAATTGTGATTTAAAGCCATTAAGTTTGGGAGTAATTTGTTATACAACAAAAGAAACTAACACAGGTATATAAGAGGTAAGGTGGAAAGGGCCCCAGTATTTTGTAGTTTCTCTAATCAGTAGGTGAAGTTTAGCTGGGCGCAATGGTTCATGCTTGCAATTCCAGCAGCTCGGGAGGCTGAGGCAGGAGGATTGCAAATTCAAAGCTAGCCACATAGGACATTACAGAAAAATTACAGCAGGTTAAAATGTGCTTGTGCAATTGGGTCTTGCTTTCTCTTGCTCCTGGGAACTCGGTGACTGTCACCTTGTAATTGAGCTCAGACAGTTTGTTGGAGACATAGACCCTATTATCTCATATAACAGCCAATATCAATGAGGCATGTGAGGCCATTCCAAACTGGCACAGCAAAGAACTATTCACAAAACTTTGAGAAATAATAAATATTTGTGTTTAAGTTGTTAATAAATGTTGTTGTTGAAGTTTTAGAATGAATTTAGGATGAATTCACGCAGAATTAGTTAACTGGTCCTTAAGTGAGACTCAGTTTTTCCAAAGAAAAACTACTGAGTATATCATTCAATTAAATCAACACTTATTAAGTGCTTACCACACGCTGGGCCCTTGCCTGAGATTGTGATGTGAAAATAAGCATAATTTATGACCTAGAGCTACTTTGAAGCAGAACCAATCTTGTCTACTTCACAAATGACTGAAGTAGGAAAACTTGAACAGATCAATATTTTTGTTTGAGTTTAGCAGTCTTACCGTGGCACTCCTGAGCCTGCTGTGAAGTTCAGAGTATCTCAGAACTTCCTGGGATCCTGGGGGTTTTCTTCTTTCCATCACAGAGGCATTCTATTCTGAAAACAAAATCATTTTGATTCTTTTTAAAGAATAAATAAATATTTATTCATATATTCACAGTAGTGAGGATTAAACCCAGGTGGCTTTACTACTGAGCTACAGCCCTGTAAATTTTTTAAAAAAATTTTTGAGACAGGGTCTTGCTAAGATATCCAAGATGGCCTTGAATTTTCTTTATTCTTCTGGTTTTTTTTTTTTTTTTTTGTACTGGGGATTAAACCTAGGCCTAGGATTATTTTACCACTGAGTTCCACCCCCAGCCCTTTTATTTATTATTATTTTAAATTTTGAGACAGGGTCTCTCTAAGTTGCTTTAAGCCTCACTAAGTTTCTGAGGCTGATTTAGAACTTGCCATCCTCCTGCTTTGGCCTCCTGAGTGGCTGAGATTACAGGCATGTGCCACAGTGCCTGGGGTGGCCTCCAACTTTTCATTCTCCTACCTCTGATCCTCTTGCCTCAGCCTCCTGAATATGTAGTGGGACACTGTTCATTTCAATTCTTTTTTAAAAATATTTTTTACTTGTCAATGAACCTTTATTTTATTTATCTATATGTGGTGCTGAAAATCTAACACAGTGCCTCCATACATGCTAGGCAAGGGCTCTACTACTGAGCCACAGACCCAGTCCTTTTCAATTCTTTATGACACTATGAAAAACACTTTCCATTGCACTTGGGTACACAAACTCCAATATAAAAAAAAGTTTCATCAATTGAGACTAAATTTAAGATACATACTGAGTTTTTGTATTCTATTTTATTCTTTTTTATATATATTTTTTGTTGTAGTTGGACCCAATACCCATTTTTTATTAATTTATTTTTATGTGGTGCTGAGGATCAAACCCAGAGCCTCACACGTGCTAGGCGAGCATTCTACCCCTGAGCTACAACTCCAGCCTCTCTATTTTATTCTTTCAATATGTTGGTTACACCCAACATGTGGCGCACACATGTAATCCTAGTGACTCTGGACTCTGGAGGCTTAGGCAGGAGGAAGGCAAGTTAGAAGCCAGCCTCAGGAACTCAGTGAGGACCTAAGCAACTTAGTAAGACCCTATATAAAAATAAAAAGAGCTAGGGATTTAGCTCAATGGTAAAGAGCCCTTGGGTTCAATCCCCAGTACAACAACAACAATAATAATCCTTTAAAAAAGTATATCACAATCTTTTAAATCAGCCATTTAAAAGAGCTGTTCTGAAATATCACATAGGGGAGGCAATTTTAAGATCATCTAGCACGGGGCATGGTGGCACACGCCTATAATTCCAGCAACTTAGGAGGCCCAGACAGGAAGATGGAACGTTCAAGACCAGCCTCGGCAATTTAGCAAGGCCCCAAACAACTTAGCGAGATCCTAAAAATAAAAAGGGCTGGGAAGGTAACTCAGTGGCAAAGCGCACCGGGGTTCAATCGCCAGTACTAAAGTAAATAAAATGAAAATAAACCATCTGGTTGAAGCCCTTTACTTGAACCAAGCCTCAGAGAGGTTAAGTCACTTGCCCAGTGCTTGGATTTGATGGTAACAACCACCTGTCATTGAAAACCTACCTTGTGTCAGTCATCACTCTGGGATCTTGAATCGCATTATTTCATTTAACATTATTCCCACTTTACAGACAAGGAAACAGTTTCAGAATAGGGCAAATGACTTCTTCAGAGCGTCATACCATCCTAGCACTTGTCTCCGGGTCAGGAGGTCCACAAAGCCCGCTATCAAGAACGTGGTCGGGAAATCGGGTGTGTGAGCTCTCCACGCCCGAGCGCACGTGTGAGGCACTGATAACGCCGTGGTACTCCGGGCGCCTTCCTCCACCAGCTCCAGTGAAACGTGGCAGCTGAAGAAGAAAGCGCAGACTTCAATCTCGGGGAGAGGGATTCGAATCCCGCACCACAGTCTGCTAACACCGGCAGCATCTCTACCCTTCCGTTTCCACCGCTCTGAAGCGGGTGTTGATAGGAAGACGCCTGTCAAAGTCCGCCCGAGCCACTCCCATCAGAACCACGCCCATCGTAGCCACGCCCACGCCCACGCCCCCTCCCCCGCGGGCGCATGCGCCGCTCAGGGGCGCCTTTTACGACGCGTCAGACACTGCGCTTGGCGGCCGCAGGGCAGCCGAGGGAGAGCTGCGCGAGCGGCAGCGGGGCCGAGGGGACGCGCGGGTGGCGGCGTCGCCATGTCGCACGGCCACAGCCACGGCGGGGGCGGCTGTCGCTGCGCCGCGGAACGGGAGGAGCCGCCGGAGCAGCGCGGCCTGGCCTACGGCCTGTACCTGCGCATCGACCTGGAGCGGCTGCAGTGCCTCAACGAGAGCCGCGAGGGCAGCGGCCGCGGCGTCTTCAAGCCGTGGGAGGAGCGGACAGACCGCTCCAAGGTGGGCTGCCCGCGCCGGGGCGGGCGGGGCGGGATCCACGGGGCCTTCGGACACCGGACTGCTCTGTCAGCCTCACTCTTGATGCTAAAAATAACGACAGCCAGGTCGCCAGGCGCTTTCCGCTGCCGGCCTCGCGCTTGCCTTTTGGGAGGCGAGCAGGGCCGTCTTCCCCGCTTTGCAGATAGGGAAACTGAGTCCCGGAGAGTGGAAGCGGGCGCTTTGGCTCTACACAGCGTAACGCTGTGTTCCAAGGCTGCCTGGGTTAAGGAGGAGGATGGCCGTGAGGGCGTTTTCCCTTCTGTTTGACCATTGGTCCCAGTGGCTGCGTGATCGTGTCACCTGGTGAGGACGGGCAAGGGAGACCATGGGTGTTACCGATCTAGAGCGCAGGCCCCCTTGAGAGATAAGCCGGTTGAAAGTTATGGACCCTCTTCAGAAAAATGCACATGAGCACTGATCTCTCAATTTGTAATTCAGGAGACTCCGGGTTAGGAAACCTCTAATTGGATGGTCCTCATCAGAACTCTGTGGATAGGCATATTAGTTTCAAATTAATAAGTACTGGAAAACTGAAGAAGGTTGACTGCATTGCACCCCAGTTTGCAGAACAGGGTGGGAGATGCCTGAAGACATAGGCTCTCAGCAAATATTTGTTGCTTTCTCCTCCCTCCTCCCCATTCCCTCCAGTTTGTTGAAAGTGATGCAGATGAAGAGCTTCTGTTTAATATTCCGTAAGTATCTCCTTGGTGTCTGCCTCAGGATAAATAGGCTGTACACAATTGTCTTCTCAGATGGATTCATTCATTGCTTGGGTCAAGAGCACACATCTGTGTAGAAATGGGATAATACTTTGGTGGGTTTGAGGAAGAGAGCATCATAACTCTTTTGATGCAGACTGGAAGCAGATATATTTGTTGAGCAATAACTGAAAAGTAGATGTAAATTTCTTAGAATTGCAGAATGCCAGAGGTAGACATGATCTTAGAAATGATCAAGTACAAGTCTGACAGATGAGTACATTGAAGGTCAGAAAGGGGAAGGGTCTTGACTAGGGATCACACAGCTAAGTAGGGATACAATCCCAGGTTGACAACCTTCTCTTTTGCATTCTGGCAGATTTACGGGCAATGTCAAGCTCAAAGGCATCATTATAATGGGAGAGGATGATGACTCACACCCCTCTGAGATGAGACTGTAAGTGGACAGGGCTTAGGCCCTCAAGAACCTTTTAGTTCTATTTCTTTCTTTAGTAACACTTTATTCCATAGTAATATAATTTTTCTTTATTAGATTTGATATTCTCCCTTTTAAAATATTTTGATCTTGTTATTTATGTGGGAATACACTTATCTCTTTATTTTTTATTTCTTTATTTTTGAACCCAAGGCCTCACACATGCTAGGCAAGCACTCTACCACTGAGCTACATCCCCAGCCCAGTGACTTGTTTAGATTAAGCATCTTCAGGGCCAACAGCTTGTCTCGTTTTCAAAGTGCTTACTGTGGCATCATTCATTCAGAGAGCATTCTATAAATGCCAACTGTTGATGACTTTGCAGTTTTCTTAAAAACCCAGCTGCAGATCTCAAACGATCTTTATGGATTCCACTCTTGGGATGAGCTTCAAAATGTTTCTTGGTATTTCACTCAGTCGTCATCTTTGCAGATATTATGTTGACATGAGATTGCTTTGTCTGAGTTTGTGTGCCTTTATATGGCTAAGTTCTGTGTATCTTTTATGACACTACATCTGTTGCCACCAGAGTTAGTACTCCCTTTTAAACAACTTACTTTATTCTTTTTTTTTTTTTGGCCCCACCCCACAACTTACTTTATTCAAGTGTAGTCTAAAAGAGGAAAAATTTTTTTCAGAGTTCTGAGAAACAAATAACAGAATAATTTTACATTAAAAAAAAAAACAAAACATCTAGCTGGATTGTGATGGTGCATGCCTGTAATTCCAGCAGCTCAGGAGGCTGAGGCAGGAGTATTGCAAGTTTGAGAGCAGCCTCAGCAACTTAGTGAGATCTTGACTCAAAATAAAAAATAAAAAGGGCTAGGAAGAATGTAGCTCAGTGGTAGAGTGCTGCTGAGTTCAATACCACCACCTCCCCTGCAAAAAAATCTTTTTTTTTTTTCATCCAGATAGGGATGGTGCCCAATGATAGAGTGTGTGCCTAGTGTGCCTGAGGCCCCACATTTGATTTTCAGCATTGTAAGAAAAAGAGGAGAAAAAATTTTTTTAATCTGAAAAATTGATCCAGTTTAAATGGACTTTAGAGAGATTTGATAACTTGATACCATTTTTGAATATTATAAAACAAATTTAAAAGCAGATTTATACATGCAGTCATTTTAAGAAAATTGTTTGTTTGGACTGATGCTTTTGGAGACTCAGTTACTAGGAAGATGGGCTAACTTCAGGATATCCCTGTTGCTTTGGATTAAGAGTGGGCTGTGAGGTAAATTGGGTTCAAATTCTGGCTGCATACTGGCTAGCTGCTGCATGACTAGGACATTACATAACTTCATGCCTATTTTCTCAGGTAAAATAGGAAGAATAAGAGTGTAACCTCAAGAGGTTGTGGAGATCCAATATGTAAAGAACTTAGAATAGGTCTGAAACATAGTACAGGCCCAGTTTTTGGGTGAGCAGGTACAAATACGTAATAGTTCTAACACACTACATATATAACATTTCTCTGAATCTAAGATGTCATTGTAAACACACTATTATTTTAGGTAGAGTTTATAAAAAGAAACAATGATTCCTGGTCAACAATGACATATCATTGACACATCCAAAAGTTAAATTAAGAATTCTGGGCTCTCTCTCTCTTTAAAAAAAAAAAAAAAGAATTTTGGGGGCTACCAGGAATTGAACCCAGGGGGGCTTTTCCATCAAGTTACATCCCTAGTCCTTTTTTTTTTTTTTTCAAGTTTTGAGATGGAGTCTTGCTAAGTTGCTGGGGCTGGCCTCAAAGTTGAGATCCTCTTGCCTCAGCTTCCTGAGTTGCTGGAATTATAGGGGTTTGCCACCATGCCCAGCTAAATTGGGAATCTTAAATCAGAAGTATGTGAATACCAAGTATAGATGTTAGCTGATATTAAAGAATTACTGTTGCAGAGGGTATATAGTTCAGTAGTAAAGTGCTTGCCAAGCATACCCAAGGTCCCAGGTTTGACCTGAGTACCACAAAAGAAAGAGAAGAAAGAATTGTTGTTAGCTTGGCTAATTATTAATATTGCTAATTACTGGAAAAGAATTATCTTTTTTTAATTTTGTAGTTGAAGATGGACAGAATGCCTTTATTTTGTTTAATTTTTAATTCAGTGCCAAGGATCAAACCCAGTGCCTCACACATGCTAGGCAAACTCTCTGCCACCAAGCTCTAGCCCCAACCCTAGCATCTTTTTTTTTTTTAAAGAAATCTTTTTCAGGGCTGGGGTTGTAGCTCAGTGGTAGCTCACTCGTCTGGCATGTGTGAGGCAGTGGGTTCAATCCTCAGCACCACATAAAAATAAATTAATAAAATAAAGGTATTGTGTCCATCTACAGCTAAAAATTTTTTTAAAAGTCTTATTCAGAAATACTAAAGTATTTATGGGTGAAATGGTATATCTGGGATTGCACTGAAATATGAAACAAAAACAAAATAGGAGTAATAGGCAAAATCAGCATAAATTTGTTAATTAAACTCAGTAGTAAGGTATGGAGTTCATTATTTTCTGTCTGCTTTTGTGTATGTAGTTTTTCATAAAATTTTAAGTTTTAATATATGCAACTCTTAGAATTGATCCAATTTAATCTTCATATCAACTGTTTGGACTATGTATTGTCACTATCCCAATTTTACAGATGAGGAAACTGAGACACAGAGAGGTTAAATCACTTGTCCAAAATTATACAGCTGGTAAATGACAGTCAGCTTTAGACCTAGAAGTGTAGCTCCAGAGATACTGCTATTTATCTCTTTTTAATCTTTATTATTATTTTAATTGACACAAAATAATTGTGCATATTTTTATGGAGTACAGTATATTTCATACACACAAATGTTCAGGATGATTGATATAACCATCACCTTAAACATTTGCCATTTCTTTGTGTTGGAAACGTTCAAAATTATCACTAGGGCTGCAGATGTAGCTCAGTAGTAGAGCACTTGCCTAGCCTGCATGAAGCTTTAGGTTCAATCCCAAGCAGCCTTACCCTTCCCATCCCCCCAACCTTAAATATTCTCTGCTAGCTATTTTGAAATATACAACTAATTGTCATCGACTATAGTTATCCTACTGTGCTATTAAGAACATTAGAATCTGATGCACACCTGTAATCTCATTGATTTAGGAGCCTGAGGCAGAAGGATTGCAAGTTTGAGGCCAGCCTGAGCAACTTAACAAGTCCCTCAGCAACTTAGTGAGACCCTGTCTCAAAATAAAAAATAGAAAGGACTGGGGATGTGGCTCAGTGATAGAAGCACTCCTAGTGCCAAAAAAAAAAAAAAAAAAAGAACATTAGTGGTATTCCTCCTATCCACTGTATCCCTATACTGATTACCCATCCTATCTTCATTCCCTCTTCCCGATCTCTAACCATTCTACCTACTTCCATGAAATTAACTTT